CGTTAACAATGTGAAATACCTCAGTGTGCCAAGAGCCACCAAATGTACAGTTACAGATATAGGACCATCGTCACAAATAGTGGTTTTTGTTAATATTAAAACAATGGAACACCCTTATTTCTGTGATATTTTCGGTAATTCCAATTTTTATAAAATGTTGATAAACTTTGATTTATCTTCACCCAGTTTTATAAAATTCCTTTTAACCCTTCACCACAGGGACGGTAGTTTTAATATATTTTGGCTAACGCCAGGCGATTTTCTTCAGGACAGATGGGATCTCGCACACAAGTAGTTAAACAGAGCACATGAAAACGCTTCCAGTCCTGGGTGTAACGTCATGAGACGTCATCAAAGGTATTCATCAAAAACAATTTTCAGTAAAGTTACAACGCAATTTATTTGTTCAAAAACTCGATAAACTTGGCTAGAGTATTAGTAGGTATTAGGCAGCTACCAAACAGGAGGGTACTACCGCCTCGGAAGATATTGGAAGCATAATGTGTTGTCTAATGGTGGACCCTGCTGCCATATGGCATCACGAATAGTGTGACCAAGTCCCAGGTTGCTAATCTGTCTTTCTGCACCATTTGCACAATATTGCAGGGTCTCGGTTGTTTCTCTTACTTGACAGTGCAACATACATAGAGCATTTCTCACTATTGATTTTTATCAAATTTGTATTTCTGTATTATTATTATTATTACAGTGTTGTTATCATTGCTATTGTTATCATTATTATTTTATTTTACTTCTCATTATAAATCTTATTTACTATGAATTATTATTATTCATACATTTTCTCCCCCCAGGCCCCGATGTGGGTCAGTGACCTGTGCTCGGGTGGGTTAATCCCCATAAAAAAAAATGTTACGCGCTCAAAAGCCATCGTTGTCGAGACGCAGTAATAACATTATAACAACAACAACAACAACACTTACCATTATTCAGGGTTCCTTAGTAGCACCAACTCTTCTTATTACATATTAATGATATTCTCTTACTAAAAAATAACTCTTTTCTCTCCTAAGAAAATAACTCAACACTCCAAGGAACCTTCACCATGACTACCCTAGTCTTACGAGTGGGATACATCCTCCCTGGTTTCCTTCAATGTTACTACATAATAATTAGTCACAGGAAGGATATTGCACAATTTAATATACATTTTAACGTCATCAGCCCATAATTACACAGCGTTAAGATTTGAATCATCACCTGACCTCACGGTTTATCACGGCAGACTTCGTCGGAATTATAGTTATAACTGCTTCAATAAAGTTGGACTCCTGTTCTGTCAGATCCTCTTGAATTGGTTCCTTCATTAATGAAATGTTCGCACTCAATAAGGTAAATGATATGCGGTCTACAGTAAGTTGTAATACTGCTGTCATCTGTGGTGTTGGGGCACTTCTCTCAGTGCAGAGGACAGCCGTCGAAAGAGTCAACAATAACGTTCTTGCTAAAACCTTCCAGCTTGCACACTCGTAGGGATATTTCATCGCTCTTGCTATCTAAAGATATATTCATATTCAGTGTCCTGACAAGGTACACTCAAAAGTGTTGTCGCCACGCACCTTCAGTCGGCCTAAGAGGGCATCTGGGAGGGTCCAGAATCTTTCTCTTGAAATTCCACTTTGCATAACGTCTTCCTACCAAAATTCATTTATACCCCGAACATACGCTCTGCAAACCTCCCTGTCATCAAGTGTTTTTGCTATAAGTAACACCAAGACTGGGAATATGGTTGTTGTGTTGGCAACAGCTTCTACACCTTAAACAAATTCATGCCAAGGTAATCCTTGGGCAGCTATCCTCGAATACGTGGGGCAATCATAATTATTATATATATATATATATATATATATATATATATATATATATATATATATATATATATATATATATATATATATATATATATATATATATATGAAGACTTCATATTTTCCCTTAACACAAATTTCATGGTATTTGGATAATTTTCAGCACTTGTCATACCAGCCGAACCAAACTTTTCTATTGTTTGATATGTTAATAATTTTTCAACCAATTTAATAATACGGTTTCTTAAGAATTACTTAGACACTAAATACTAGACAGTACTGGAATTATACCAGTACATGTGTGTTCCATCTACAGCAACGAGCAGGACTAATGTAGAAGCCTTTACTACATTAATATATGAATGATTAGATTTTAAATCATAGAAACTATAATGACCTCATCTCGCATGACATATCACTCAATTTGCACACTTACACAGATTTCGGCATTAATGTGTATAATTTATTTGTGACAAGGAAATACAAAAAATGTGATGTATATGATATTTTTATAAGTGATCACTTTTTCAATTGTGATTCCAGGTCATGTAATCTTGATTACAATCGAGTGAAAATTTTGTGTAATCTTAATCGTAATCATAATAGTAATTCCCCCATATGAATTACTTACACACATATCTCCTTATTTCCAAACATAGCCATGTAACCGCGTAATTATGATACAATAATAAACTATATAGAATTGTCTTTGAAGTTCTGTTTACACCCATGTATCACAACAGTAGAGATTCATGCGTTAGTTTCGTAAATATAATACCGTACTTGATGCACATTACATTAAATTAGCCTGAGCTTTCTTATGATGACATCTAATACACCTTGACGCTTTCTCAGTCAACTGTTTCAGATATGGGTTGACATCTACCACATTTCTATGTCTATTTGGAAGATTTTCTTATTATATAAAGTTTGAGAGAGAATGACTAGATTCATATAAGCACTTTGCTGGATGGGGTCCAGGGCACTGCAAGTTCATTCAGCTGTAAATGGATAGCGAATGTAATACCGATTTTCAAGAAGGGGGATAGATCACTATCCTCTAACTACCGCCCAATCAGTCTAACATCAATAGTAGGTAAATTACTAGAATCAGTTATTTCAAACTCTATTCGAAACCACCTGGAGAAGCACAAGTTGATCAATGATTCCCAACATGGCTTCACAAGCGGGCGTTCATGTCTAACTAATCTATGAACATTCTTTTCATCAGTTTTCGAATCGGTGGACGAAGGGCACAATTATGATGTGGTATATCTCGACTTTAGCAAAGCCTTCGACAGAGTCCCCCACGAAAGACTAATTAGAAAGGTAGAAGCGCATGGCATCAAAGGTAATATCCTTAAATGGATTAGGGCGTGGTTACAGGACAGGAAACAGCGAGTGAGCATAAACGGCACTAAATCGCATTGGAGCAACGTCACTAGCGGAGTTCCCCAAGGCTCAGTACTTGGACCATTATTATTTATTATATACATAAACGAAATAGATATCGGCATAGACAGCAACATAAGTAAATTTGCTGATGACACTAAAATAGGAAGTGTAATTAAATCTGACGAGGACTCCCCAAAACTACAGGAAGATCTAAACAAATTTTTCGAATGGTCGGAAAAATGGCAGATGAAATTCAATGTGGACAAATGTATAGTACTCAGTATAGGAGATGTAAACAGGGAAACCAGTTACAAGATGAACAACGATGCCATTGTGGAATCCGACTGCGAGAGATTTAGGAGTAATGATATGTAGGAATCTTAAGCCAAGTAAACAATGTGTTTTTGCTTGTAACAAGGCTAATAAAGTACTTGGGTTCATACAAAGGAGTTACAAGACTATCGAGGTCATCTTAAAATTATATCTAGCGCTTGTGAGACCTCACCTGGATTACGTAGTTCAGTTCTGGTCACCGTATTACAGAATGGATATAGAATCATTGGAAAGAATCGAGAGGAGAATGACAAGACTAATCCCGGGCATTAGGAATCTTGAATACAGAGGCAGGTTAAAGCATCTTAATTTGCACTCCCTCGAGAGACGTAGAGTGAGGGGCGACATGATAGAGGTGTATAAATGGAAGTCAGGGTTAAGCAAAGGGGACATTACAAAGGTACTGAAACTATCCAACCAGGAGCGAACTCGTAACAATGGTTTTAAATTAGACAAATTTAGATTTCGGCGTGAAATAGGTAAACACTGGTTTGGAAACAGAGTAGTGGATGACTGGAACAAGTTACCAAATATCATCAATAACTCGAATACAATGGATAGCTTCAAACATAGGTTGGATGCTTATATGAGCAATAGGTGTTGGGTGTAAACGGGACTGCCCAGTATGGGCCAATACGCCCGCTGCAGTTTCCTCCATTCTTATGTTCTTATGTTTACAATTAAAGGTGTGAAGGCAGTTAAGTGCAGTGCCAGCCATGTTGTCTTTTTGTGTACTGCATTTATTTTTTATATTATTATTATTATTTTTTTTAGTACAGTCTACTGCCTTTCATGGGTCTTCAGATCTGTGGGATCAACTTTCCTTCCGGGCTGGATATCTCTTATATTTCTCATTAGCTTTTGGGTTATTTCATTACGCAACATCAAATTCACCAACAAGGTACACCGCAAGTCTTATTATACCGCAAGTTACTGATCGAGAACAAAAGGTAAAGTCCTCCCTTACTGTAAGCTGTGTAACCGTTATCTTCCTCTCCATGTTCTCTACACCACCCTGCAAGGTATCTATGTTCACATGTCTTTAATCCACTGTCGGAGGTCACATGTAATGCCACCTTATAAGGACTGAATAATATATTGCTGAAGAAACTTCTGCCAAACTACTGTAGCATGTTGCTGTCATTAGAATTTGAAGGTTAAGATTTTGAATTTATTACTAACAGAACAAGGAACATTACTCTTAATACTGGAAATATCTTGTCGTTGTTATCCAGACTGTAAATTTTGTATCTCTTCATGTTAACAGGTGAATTTCTATATCACGTTATCAGCAGAATTATCATAAATTTATATATGTTCCATCTAGAACAATTTTGAATGATGATATTTTTCTATTCTTAAAATTTAATGAACTTATGTGTAAATAAAAAATACAGGAAGAATGTAAGATATTAACCCTGTTGTTTAAAATATTAAAACAATCTGTTAAATAAGAATATGATTATTTTATGATTTTTTTAAATACTCCTTATATTCACATATTCAACACCAGTCTTATATTGTAGAAGTTAAATTTACAAATTATGTTTGACAGTCAACAATACATTCAGCGTCTGATTCACAGTAGTGAGAGACTCTGTTGAACACCCCGTCGTGTGGGCAGGTGCCAAGAATAGCATCTGGAGGACTACACTGGTAGAAATTGTGACAGTCAAAAGGATCCGGCACTTTCTCACCATTAGCAACACAGTGAGGCTTGCAGATGTCGCAGTATCCGTAGCAGACACTGTCGTCGTCAACACAATCCCCTGTCCTGAAGTTGAAGTAGCCTGCATCAGAGGGACAGTCCTGCTGTAATAAGTGGCCGTCGTCGAGGCAGACGTAATAGATAGAGCAGTCAAAGGGATCGGGTGTGAGCTGGCCGGCATGTTCACAGTATGGTACACAGGGATTACAAAGGGGGGAGCAGAAGCCCACCGGGGCACCTGATATGGGTTCACATCTCGAACGATGGTATTCAAAGTAATCACCATCCGTGCAGTCTTCGGGCTCCGTCGATGGGATTACCTGGCCTAATAAAAAAAGAATATTTAAAAACTTGGAGACAAAAAATTGTCGACTTAGATACAGCTCACGTTTGTACCTTCTACTGTAATAAGCCTTTAGAGATTACTGTCCATCTGTGGCTTGATATGTTAATTGTACTTGAACACTGATGAACGATGACACGGCAGAATTAAGTAGGATTTTAAAATACAGAATTATAGGTAAATCAGAATATGTGAGAAAGTTTAGACTGGGTACTCACCACCTGCGTTGATGCACACGTAGTATTTTGTACAGTCTGTGGGGTCCCTCACCTTATCTCCAGCTTTATGGCCTGAACAGTATGGGGCACAAGCCTGTATACTTTCCCTCACCTGTAAAAAATGGAAAAAGTTATATAATGTACGTCAGTGTATGACGGCTCAAGTGTTCACAAATAATACACGTGATAAAAGAGAATGATTCTCAAGGAAAAGTCGAGATAATAAAACAGCCAAAATATAGATAAATTGTAAAACAAATAACTTCCATAAAACGTATATTGTAGGAGTATAAATCACCACGGTTTGTTCTGACTTTAATATTTTGTTCTTTTTTGTCAGCAATGTTTAAGCATTGATGATTGTAATACTGTTTGCAAGTCCGAGTTGGATATTTGATTACAATAAATTATTAAAGAATTTTAAGTTCATTTTTTTAATATATTGAAATCATAACCGATGTTAATACTTAGGTTGTAGGATCGTCTATACAATATGTACGATAATATTACTTTAAGAACACGACAAACCAAGTGTTGATATCCTCACACAGATTCGCCCAGAGTTAGTGCACTGTAACTCGTCTCAACTAACTAGAATGACGTTTAAGATGCAATTAAATACATTTTCTAGTATTATGTTTACTGTACTTTGTTTTAGTAAAGTTAAAATTTCATTGTTTTTCAGATTGACAGACGAAACATATCGTCGAAAGTACAAAATCTTTCTAATGTTGAGTAGCGTCTGACTAGAGTAGTGCCCTCTGTGAGCGTGTTTCAAGTTAGTGTGAGTAATTGTTGTGTGGAACTACGTCCCTCCTGGCATCCACACCTTCACGCCTCAGTGGGGAGGTAACAGGATCTTCAACACACACACACGTATAACTATAATATGATACATAAAATCTATATAATTTGTCTACATTTGCTTATTATGCTACCAGAGCAACTTAAAACACAATGTGATTATGAATTCTACAGTAAATACGTAATGGATATATTAATACATTTTACCAAATCTAATTAATGCTTTAGAGGGCCATGGCCACATAGAAAAACTTTTGTATTACAGTACAGTTCTTTGTATTGTACAATGCATTAGTAATAGAAATGCCTCTTTTACGTACCAGGAGGGTAAGGATGAGAGTTATGGGAAGTGCTGACAACATTTCTCTGATGCTGTTGCTGGCTCTGGTAACACTGCCACACTGGACCCACGTAATATATCTGTGTGTGGTTGCTGACGCATGCGCAGTCGCCTCTCCCGATCCAATGACATCTGATATGTGTTGACTTTACCAACAATATTAGAGATAAAATTTCAAGAATTTCCTCCGATAGAATATCTATGATTTTTTACGTTAAATATTGATATTCGCCTTCTAAGCGTTAACAAGTCGCTGATTCTTTTGGAAATTCAATGGAATATGGTAAAAAAAATCACTTAAACATTGTTTGCCATTATAAGATCGCCAAATTATAACTAAAGTTGGAGAGGTAAGATTTGGATAGATTAGGTTTGATTAGATTTTAATTAAAACTATTTATTTGCATGTATTACGATGATCTACTTAATTGTCTATGACCAGTCAGAAATCACTATAGGTGCGCGTGATCCAGGTATATGCTATTAACCACAAGGAAAAAGAAAACACGAAGTTCCCAAGCGCTTTCGTGTAATTCACATCTTCAGGGGTGAGTACAGACTAAGAAGAAGTACAGAACATGTTATATATATACAGAGGAGGGTGAGATAAAGTCCACAGTGGTCAGGTATATGTAATGACCCCACTAATCTTCACAAAAGCACGACAGCGGTCGGTAGAGGAGTCAGGTCAGAGGGTAAGCTGCCTCAACCTTCTCACCTGGTTACAAATCTTCTTAATTAAGAAATTATCCAATTTGTACATACCATTACTTAAATTCATGTTGACGGATTCGGTATGTTTAATGAGACTAGATTCTATAATGTTCGTACCGTCAATTGAATTACATGGTAATATTGAGGAGGCATTATCCCAGTCAATGCAATGCTTGTTATCCCTCAAATGAACAAACAGAGCATTGGATTCCTGGCCTGTCCTAACACTATATTTATGTTGTTTATGTCTAGTTACAAGATCTTTACCTGTCTGGCCTAAGTAAAACATATTACATTCCTTGCAAGGAACCTTATAAATGCAGCCACTTGTATTGTTGGGGGAGTTCTTGATTAACATTTGTTTAACAGCACACGCTGTGACCAGTCTGCGGTAAACAGGGAGGCAACGGGGTCGATAGCATTCACGTTTTCACTGTAAAGTTAGGTTCCCATTCACAGCTGGGTAGCCTGAGGGTGCCTAAGCGAGAACCAGTGTAATGCAGAAGGCGCATCCACTTGGCCGCCGCGCCAAAGAGACTAGTCTAAATATTTAATACACTGGAGATGAGTCAAGGTCAAAATGATAGGTCAGAGGTCGTTTAGCCAAATATGTCTTACAGTACAAATTAAATCCCGGTAACCAACTGTGGACTCTCATGACTGTCTTATGGTGTCTAGTTCGTCTTGTAGTTATTTGTCTCAGTGTTACTGACGACATTATTCGGAAATTATCTCGATCTGTCTGACCCTGTGTTTGTAGTCTGTCTCTTCTCTTTGCTGCTGAACAAGTGATAATTGTTGGACTCCCATATATAGGTGGTGTTTGACCAGAGAAAATGGGAGGGCAAAAGGGTTCTTTAGCGACAGTCTTTCGCGAAAGAATTTATATGTTAGGTAGTAGGCAGCCATCACACAGGGAGGAGGTACTACCGCCTGGGAAAATATTGGAAGCATAATGTGTTGTCTAATGATAGACCCTGCTGCCATATGGCAAAATTTTTTTTTTTACCAAATTCCAGGTTGCTGATGTGACTTTCTGCCACATTTACACGCAATTGTCGGGTCTCGATTGTTTCTCTTACTTTGACAACACAACATACATAGGCTATATTGTTTCTCACTATTGATATTTTTTTAATTTTTGTATTTATTTACTGTCCTTTATTATTATTATTATTATTATTATTATTATTATTATTATTATTATTATTATTATTATTATTATTTCGCCCCAGGTTGGCTAATCCCATAAATAAGGCAGCCACTTTAGAAATACAGGAGTTTAATTGACTTGCTGGCTGCCTGTACCCTTTCTTATAATTAAGGTTCATTGTATATTTTCGTAGTTGATTGATGGAAGTTGTTTTCATTATTGCCTTCGCCATCGTAGTTCATTGACGAAGTTGAATGTCTTTTATGTCAGTAACCGAAATATTAAAAAAAAAAAAAGAATTTATTAATTCCAATGAAGCTCTGCAAGTGTCTGAAAGTTGGTAAAACATAAACTGATTTAATTTTTGATAATCAAGGGTGAGAAGTTAAGGTCACACGCCAAGGTCTAAGTGAAGGATTGACTCTTAAGGTTTCAGGAGAAAATAAATGAAAGTTTATTAGTCAAAGGGGTAATGTACAAGGTAACATAACCTAAGTATGTAAGCCAAGACAATAAACCAAGTACAGTATATAGATATAGTAGAAGGTGGAAGGAGGTATACTACTCCTCGACCTCTACTCCAACCCCAGTCGTTGCTGGGAGGAAAACCTCATCAGTACCCGAAGGTTCCTCAGGGTACACCGGGAAATCTGCCTCTTATCACCCGGGTAGCATTTTTTTCCCCACGAAGATTTCCTCAAGTGGGGGTGCAGGCGAGGTGGTGGGTAACAGCGGGAGGTATTAGTGCCAAGTGTCAGCGGTTAGGCCATGTGGGAAGGATGGCACCTGACTCACAGTGTGAACAGTGTTATAAGACGCCAGCGGGGTGACATGACCACATTACACACAACCCTTCATCATGAGACTCTTGCTTCTTGTCACAACTCTGCTCCTTCTGGTATGGTTGATCTCTTGGTTATTCACGATAACATTGAATTATGTCGCTTTAATGGTCTCGTTAAAGCATACGTAATGATTGGGAACTTAAATCGATAGTCATTAACCCTTCCACACTTATCTCTACATTTTGTCAGCAATAACACGAAATAATTCAGTTAGAAACCCCATATTCTAATAGTTATTTGATATACATATTTATCCTAACCCTATCGTTGTAAAGAAAAAATCATATAAGTACATATTATCAAAGTTAATATAAAAGAATTCCCATCTCCATGTGTTTACTACTATCTTGGGTACACTAATATTCTTTGTGTTTATGTCCATGGGAAGGTTTGAGGTCGCAGCATCTGTCTACACTGAGCTAGACTGATAACTTGTCCAACACTTTATACAACTTAAATAAGTACGGTTAATAGTCAACCCCCGAGTAACACTTTACTCGTCTACCGTACCCCTAGTAACACAACACCTGTCTGCCGTACCCCTAGTAACACACTACTCGTCTGCCGTGCCCCCAGTAATACACTACTCGTTTGCCATACCCCCAGTAACACACTACTCGTCTGCCGTACCCCCAGTTACATACTACTCGTCTGCCGTACCCCCAGTTACACACAACTCGTCTGCCGTACCCCTAGTAACACACTACTCGTCTGCCGTACCCCCAGTAACACACTACTCGTCTGCCGTACCCCCAGTAACACACTAATCGTCTGCCGTACCCCTAGTAACACATTACTCGCCTGCCATACCCCCAGTAACACACTAATCGTCTGCTGTACCCCCAGTAACACACTACTCGTCTGCTGTACCCCCAGTAACACACTAATCGTCTGCCGTACCCCTAGGCGGCGTTGGCGTCAGCACAGCTGTGTGTACCTGACTGCACGAACATGCATGAGGGAGATAAGGTATTCGACCCCACCAACTGCCTCCGCTTCTACTACTGCAGCGACCCCGACAATAATGGTCACCTGGTGCCCTCATCCGAGCCAATTACCTGTCCTGAAGGGTGAGTCATTACCTGCTGGATCATCGTCATACACACCTGTACAGTTATATAACCATGTGTTTTTTACAAGGTCTCATGCAGGTAACAATGCAATCACACGTTGTCGTAGAGACATAACACTTATCCTTACTCAGATTATACAGTTATTCTTGGATAGACTCTGAAATGATCATACACACGAACACATATACACACACTACTACTACTACTACTACTACAACTATTACTACTACTATTTTTTTTAACGTGGCCTCCAGTCTCCCCCAATAACCACACCTTCGCCGCCATTTTATTACCTTAAAATTAACTATCCTAATACAAAAGTAGCTATCCTAGCTGTGTTGAGCAGCAGATCTATGCAGCATTCATAAACTGTTGCCTCCTAGTCATTATCTGCAATTGTTGTCGGCTTTGGGGCCGATGCTAGCATTCCTCTGATGAAGAGCAAAGCCGACCTAAGGAGAGAGAAGGACAGTCGACATCTCATCCAGGCTGTAGCATTACTTCTGGGCTGCTGCTTCTGTTCGGAGATCACCTCCGTGAGTCTGGCGTAGAAACATCTTGCACTTGGTCCCATCCCACCAGAGGTTGTGAACACTAGAGGAGTGAAGCTGCCTTGATCAACGTTTTGAATTCTCTCCCCATATGCCCTTATCTTGTCGTTCTCGTTCCTCCTGTGTGCAGCATCGAGAGCTAGGTTACGGTGACATGCGGCCATGGGATAAAAAATCCTGATGTCGAAGAAGGCTCGCTGTCCCCGCGTCCAGAATCCTCGAGCACTGACGTCAACACGGGCTTCGTTGGATGTGTTTGAAGTCCTATGTTGGAAATTCTCACCGTCCAATGGAAGGAGTGTCGGTTCTACCCTGACATCACGACAGATTTCCTTCAACATATTTGCTGTGAGATCCCTTACTTCGTCATGCCTCATGCATATGAAGCCCCCTTTCTTGCACACCATGGCGTGATCGACGTCATAGGAAGAGCCACACACGCATTGGGAGGGCAAACCTTCTACTTGCCTTTTGTACCTTAGAGCATTGGCATCTGTAAATTCTTGTTTATTGAGACTGAAACCATTTGCCCTTATCGGTAACGTAGTTAACCAGTTCGAGGCGCCCACCTCCTGCGCTATAGCTACTTTTTTTTTCAAATTCTCTGGGACTTGCAGCATCAGTTGCTGCAACTTATCACTTTGGCCGTGCTGTCGTTCTGTCGTAATGGACCTTCGAATCTTGTTTACTTCACTGGTTTCCACCTCCCCTGTTGCGTCCTGAGCTATTATGTGGTCCGTGAGGGCTGCCGTGAGCTTAACTGAGTTTTGATGCTCGGTAGCAGCAATCTCCTCTGGATTGGTCAAACCCATTCCTCCCAGTCTCGGTGGTAGTGCAAGGAGTGATCTTTCTGCTGGGGTTAAGTGAGGGTGTTTCACTAATTTGGGAATGAAATTGACGCTGATAGCTTTTTCCAGAGGGCTGGGAAGGGGACCAATATCAGGGATAGTGCGCATCAGGTAGTTCCAGCGATGCTTGACTCCATGGGTGAATGCCGCAAAAGCCGCATGAGGCTCTGCGTTAGCAATCTCAGACAGCGCTTGGATTTCCCTAACCCACTCATTCACCTTTCCCGTTACGTATTCGGTCTTGAAGTCCGTCATGCCGATTACTGCGCCTAGGTGTCTTTGGCCATCCTTTGTTATTTTGACCTCTCTTCCACCGAACTCCTCCATTGCCCAATCACAATGTTCTGGCTTCAGAATGAGGAAGGACTTGCTGGCGTTTAGGTGGTACCCTATTTGTGGACCTCGTGATGTTATCAGGTCCCGCCACTTTTTGATGTCCTCCACTTTTCCTGCTCCTGTAAGGTCGTAAGCGTGCGCCACTTGCTTGACCTCAGTTGTTTAAAATTTTATTGTGTGTTGGAGCACGGATAGGCCTATTGTGTATATTACCATTGCAACAGGGTTCCCCTGCGTTGTTCCCTCGGTTGACTGTATGATGGTATCACCTCTTAGAGCCTTGTTGTTTACTACTGTATATAGAGGTCTGATGGATTTCTATAGGAGTTTTCAACATACATTGCAAAGCTTGGACTCTTGATCTTGATGTTGTGTAGTGCGGCCTTGTGGTTAAGTATGTTGAATGCGTTTGAAGCATCCACCAGGAGAACGGCCTCACAATCATGCTGCTCAAATATCGTTCTCATGGCGTGAATGGCAGCTTCCCCTCCAGCCTGGTGGCTATCTCCCTCCTAAACCTAAACTTATCCAACTTAAATCCGTTGCTACGAGTCCTATCCTGCCCGGATATTATAAGAACTTTATCTATATCCCCTTTATTGATTCCTTTCACCCACTTAAATACTTCTATCATATCTCCCCGCACTCTTCGTCTTTCTAGGGAATGCAAGTTTAGTTTCTTTAACCTATCCTGATATGGAAGGTTTCTAAGTCCCGGAATCATCTTTGTCATTCTTCGCTGCACCGACTCTAGTGAATTGATATCCATACTATAATAAGGGCACCAGAACTGAACCGCATAATCGAGGTGCGGCCGGACTATCGCAAGATATAGTTGCAATAAGACCTCTGCACTCTTGTTACTTACACTTCTAGATATAAAACCCAATACTCTGTTTGCCTTATTTCGAACATTAACGCACTGTTTTCTAGGCCGTAGGTCCGGGCTTACACGTACCCCTAGGGCTCTTTCACAAGTCAACATCTCTAGGTTGATGTTGTTAAGGCTGTATACATTATCAGTATTTGTTCTTCCAATATTAAGAACATAAGAACATAAGAAAGTGGGATACTGCAGGAGGCCGACTGGCCCATACAGGGCAGATCCCTTTCACACCCATCCCAGCACTTCCATGTGCCTATCCAACTTCGTCTTGAAGCTCCCTAGCGTCCCCGATCCTACTATAGCACTCGGTAGCCTATTCCACATATCCACAACTCTATTACCAAACCAGTGTTGAATTTCATTTGCCATTTTTCCACCCCTGCAGTTTATTTAGATCCTCCTGTAATGCATTTGCATCCTTCCCTGAATTAATCTGCCGCCCTATTTTGGTGTCAACCGCAAACTTGCTTATGTCACTGGTGATCCCAGTATCTAGATCGTTTATGTAGATTGTGAACATGAGTGGGCCTAGTGCTGACCCCTGGGGAACCCCACTGGTTACACGGCCCCACTCAGATTTAACACCATCTACGCTGACCCTCTGCGTTCTATCGGTGAGCCATGATTTTATCCAATTTAAAACTTCCCCTCGATACCATGAGCCTTAATTTTTCTCAGAAGCCTCTGATGCGGTACTCTGTCAAATGCTTTGCTAAAGTAAAAGTAAATAACATCGTAATTTTCGTCATTATCTACTACCTCGAAGACTTTCCTACACCGGGATTTATTCAGCAAAATATTCAAGTGATCAGTGAACGATTGACTACCAAACATTGTTCCTATAGTGCACTCCAAGGAAAAGCACAAGCACACAGCAGTGTAATACTGAGTGTGGCTGGATCTGACCTGACCTGACCCGCCCTCACGGCTTCACCTGACCTAACCTGAAGGATGGAGCACATCTGCATTGACCCAAGCTACTGTCTTGGCCACACACCTGTCCACCCGAATCCAGCCCATACGAGCAGGAACTGATTGCTATAAGAACAGCCCAGTCCTAACCATTGTAAAAATTATCAACACCTAATTATTATATATCATATTTTTATCACCTATGTTACTTGTACATCATTTGTAAATCAAGAGATCCATTCCCCAATTATGTAATTGTATATTTTCAGCCTTCCGGCTGCCATGCTCTTTAAACAAACCGTTAATTATTATTATTATTACAAATACGTGTGTGTATATTAATTTAAAAATCACACGTCAGCACTAATAACAATAATAATGTTGGGACGAGGTGGAGGCGTGGTGGTGACAGTGAAGGTTGAAAGTATGGGTGTTCCCTCAGGTACTACTTCAACAACGCCCGCACCGTGAAGGAGTGTGAGAGGGTAGATCCCAACAGTAACTACTGCACCGGACTCTGTAACCCCTGTTCCCTCGAATGTGGTGAACCAGGTAAGACAACTGATTCTTGAGGCTCTATGGCCTTTTCATGGTCTTTGTCTCTCTAATTTTTTGTTTCCCTTTCTCTCTCTCTCTCTCTCTCCTGCTTGTAGATATATCATGTATTATTGATGATCACTTAACTGAGTTCTTGAGAAGCTCGTATACACACCTACCGACACTGGGTGACCACAAAAGTAAACATTATTTTTATTCCAGGCACGCTGATTGCTTACCCAATGGACTGTACCAAGTATCAGATCTGCCTTGAAGATAAGCATGTCCTTCTGGCAGACTGTCCATCTGCAACTCCTTTCTTTGACTTCAAGACAGGGGATTGCACAAATGATATGTCCCTTTGCTACGACGTCTGTGACCCTTGCCAGGTGTATTGTGTCAAGAAGGGCAAAGTCCCTAACCCCCAAGACTGCATGTCCTACTACTACTGCGACCCTCCCCTGATATCAGCCTTCGACTGCCCCGACGGCGAATTCTTTAGCGTAACACTTCTCCAGTGTGAGAAGAAACACTCTGGCAACTGTACTAATATCTGTTAAGGTGTGATGTTGTGACCAGTTAGTAAATATTTAGTTTCAGAAGGAATGTTTTGGCTGTGTATATTTTTGACCTCTCATTGAATTTATACAAAATAATATCAAATAATTTCTATACGGTAAAATTTGCTCTGTTTTATTTAAGACGTCGTAACCACCATATGCAAAACAAATTATGCCTAAAGTTGGACAGGTAAGGTAAGGTCAGGTTAGATTTTCAATGAAGCTATTCATTTATATGTGTACTGATAATCTACATGATAGTCTATGGCCAATTAGAGGTTTAGGCAAATACATAGTAGTTAACAATATTAGGCAATTATCCCTATTAGTGTAACACACACACACACATATATATATATATATATATATATATATATATATATATATATATATATATATATATATATATATATATATATATCAACGACCTCACCAGCCAGGACTCGAACCCTGACCTAATGCATGGGACCATGGTGCTCCTGGCTCGTAGGTGGGTCCGCGTGTTATATGGACTAAAAATGAAATATATATATATATATATATATATATATATATATATATATATATATATATATATATATATATATATATATATATATATATATATGCAAGTAAATCACTGTAGGTGCACGTGATCCAGGTATATGCGGATAACCACGAGGAATAAAAAACACAAAGTTCCCAAGCGCTTTCGTGTAATTCACATCTTCAGGGGTGAGTACAGACTAAGGAGAAATACAAAACAAGGTATACTGTATATATACAGAGGAGGGTGAGATCAAGTCCACAATGGTCAGGTATTAGGTAGTGATCCTACTAATCTTCAAAAGCACCGCAGCAGTCGGTAGTCAGGTCAGAGGGTAAGATGACACAACCTTCTCAACTGTTTACAAATCTTCTTAATTATGAAATTATCCAGTTTGTACATACCATTACTCAAATTCATGTTGACGGATTCGGTATGTTTAATGATACTGGATTCTATAATGTTCCTACTTATGTTCTAACTTGTCTAGTTTGAGTAGAATAAATGGATTGTTTATCCCTTTTAAACCAACGATCAACAAACAATGAAGGGTACCCAAGTTTTTGCGCAATGGACTGAATGTGTTGCAGTTCTTCTTCAATAAATTCAGGGTCACAAATACGCAAACATCTCAAAAACATAGGAGAAAAAACTGACATTTTGGTAGGCTCATGGTGACTCGATAAAAAATGTATGAATCTATCTACCTGTGTAGACTTTTGTACATCTTATATTTAGAGTTATGTCCATTTCTCATGATAAGCATATCAAGAAATGGAAGGGATCCATTTATCTCTCTTTCAATTTTGAAGGTAATCCTAGGGACAAGATCATTAAGCTTGCCTAAAAATTCCATTGGGTCACTGTTTCTAGGCCATAGACAAAGCACATCATCTACATATCTATATCATGGAGGAATAAAGTCACTCACGAAGTCCATTGTAGTCATAGGAGGTGGGTAGCTGACTCAGGTGCAGTACAAAACCATGGTGGTCAATCAGGTTGGTTTGCTTCTAAGGGTAAGGCATCTACTAAGATATTGTGTTCTCCTTTAATATGTGAGCGACAAGGGTGAGGTCGTCTGCATTATGAAGTTCAGTAATGGAAGCTGCTGACACATTTGTTCCTGCCTGGAATCGTGTTATGTTGAAAAGACCCTTCATTCGGTACTCGATGTCCACCCCACTGGCCAAATTAGCACTGGCACGAGTAAGAGAGGCAGCCAAGAAAATGGAAGAGAGTTGGTGCCAGTTTACATCATTGTTTTACCCCTGTTTGGATGGGGAAGAACTCAGACTGGGTGCCATTGTGCAGGACACTGCTGTTCAATGTTCATGCCATTGTGGAGTTTTCTCACAATGATGATGAATGTTGGTGGGCAGCCAAAACAGCTGAGGATCGCCAGAGGACTTCCCTGTTGACCGAATCGAAGGCCTTGGTTTGGTCGATGAAGACAATGCACAGGTCACGACGCTGTTTTCTGTACTTTTCCTGTATCTGGAGGGCAGCAAAGATCATGTCAGTGATGCTACGTGGTGTCTAAAACCACATTGAGATTCTGGGAAAAGGTTTTGCACCTCAGGAACAAGTTTGTTTAGGAGGACTTGGGCGATAATCTTGCCAGCTACAGAAAGCAGTGAGATCTCATGGTAGTTGCCACAGTTTCACCAGTTTTCCTTGTTCTTATAAATATTGACGATGGAGGCGTCTTTGAGAGCTTGGAGGATTTCCTCCCATTCCCATATACTCTCCAGGAGAAAGTGGAGATGGCTGGTAAGCAGAGATCTTTCTGCTTTTCACACCTCGGCTGGGATTCCATCAGGCCCTGAGGCTTTGCTATTTTAATCTGTTTGATGGCAGTAGCTACCTCATCCAGGGATGGAGGATAGCTGAGGTGGATCAGCTCTGGATGCTGAGGGACCTGCTGGGTAGTCAGGACATCCATATCGTTATTTTGGTTGAGCAGCGAATGGTAGTGCTTTTTCCATCACTGAAGGATGCCTTCTTCATCTTTAATTACGGTGTTACCGTCCGATGAGCAGAGGGAGGCTGCCCCATGATTGACTAGCCCATTAAATGTTTTAGTTGAATTTAAAAATTCACGCATCTTGTGCTGATCTGCAAGTTTTTGTTTTTCACATGCTTTATTTTTAATCCATTCGTTCTTTAGAGTGCGAAGTTTGCACTGGGCTGCCACTTTCTTCTTGCGGAAGGTATTAGCTTTGGTCCGAGACCGAGGATTGTTCTGCCAGTCAGTTAAAGCAGCACATTTTTCATCGACAAGTGCATTGATTTCTGGGTCATTTTCATTGAACCAGTCCTTTGAGTATTCTTTCGATCTGGCCAAGGGTCTCTCTGCGTGTTTTGTCATGACAGTGTCGAGAATATCCCATTTGGCACTGGGAATTGGGTTGTTTGTTGTCGGGTCGTTTATCAGCCCATGTTCAACCTGCTATCTGAAAGAATGTACTACCACTGGATCCTCCAGACTCTTAGTGTTAAAACCTCTTCTGGAGGATTGCTGCCTTTTCCATTTTGGGGCGACGAGAAGTGAGAGCTTGGCTCTGACGAGCCGATGATCACACAATCACACACACAAATATATACACAAATCACACACACGCACACACACACACACACACATACACACTACTACAACAACTACTACTACTACTACTACTACTTTTTTTTTTTTTTTTTTTTTTTTTTTAAATGGCCTCCAGCCTCCCCAATAGCCACACCTTCGCCACCATTTATTTACCTTAATATTAAATATCCTAATACATAAGAAGCTATCCTATCTGTGTTAAATTAGTTGAGCCGCAGATCTATGGCATTCAGTGACTGTAGCCTCATAGTCAATATCTGCAGCAGTTGTCGGAGTAGGGGCAGAAGCTCTCGTTCCCCTGAGGCAAAGCAAAGCCGACCGAAGGAGAGAGAAAGACAGTCGACATCTCATCCAGGCTGTAACATAACTTCTGGGATGCTGCTTCTGTTCGGAGATCAACTCCGCGAGTCTGGCGTAGAAACATCTTGCACTTGGGCCCATCCCACCAGAGGTTGTGAACACTAGAGGAGTGAAGCTGCCTTGATCAACGTTTTGAATTCTCTCCCCATATGCCCTTCTCTTGTCGTTCTCGTTCCTCCTGTGTGCAGCATCGAGAGCTAGGTTACGGTGACATGCGGCCATGGGATCAAAAATCCTGATGTCGAAGAAAGCTCGCTGTCCCCGTGTCCAGAATCCTCGAGCACTGACGTCCACGCGGGCTTCGTTAGATGTGTTTGAAGTCCTGTGTTGGAAGATCTCGCCATCCAATGGAAGGAGGGTCGGTTCTACCATGACGTCCCGGCAGATTTCCTTCAACATATTTGCTGTGAGATTCCTTACCTCGTCATGCCTCATGCATATGAAGCCCCCTTCTTGCAGACCATGGCGTGATCGCCATCATAGGAAGAGCCACACACGCATTGGGAGGGCAAACTTTCTACTGGCCAACCGTACCTTAGAGCAATGGCATCTGTAAATTCTTGTTTATTAAGACTGAAACCATTTGCCCTTATCGGTAACGTAGTTAACCAGTTCAAGGCGCCCACCTCCTGCGCTATAGCTACTTTTTTTTTCAAATTTTCTGGAACCTACTACTACTACTACTACTACTACTACTACTGCTACTACTACTACTACTGCTACTACTACTAATACTAATACTAATACTAATACTACTGCTACTACTACTACTACTACTAATAATAATAATAATAATTTGCAGTCACTCTAAATCGAGTATGACGATCATCCAGGAATGATATAATGATATGAGTTACTCAGGATGTCATCTTCGTTGGTGAGTTTTAAGGTGACTAAAGTGGTCGATACAGGACCGGCAGAGTCGTTCACAAATTGTTGCACATGTGGATAGCTCCATGTACTGAGGAAGGGACGGTGACAGCGTCATTCCGGGTTTGGTGCTTGTCTCCCTCGGTATGCAGTCGGGCTATCTTTAAAGTATCGATACCTTCTTGTGTGGTGCTCCTCCAAGCGTTACGGTGTGGAGTAATCGTCTCCCACTTGAGGGAGTCGATTTGGCACATTTTCAGGTTCGTCTTAAGACTATCGTTATAACTTTTTATTTGCCTGACAGTAGTACGTTTACTACTTGCTACTACTATTTTGCTGTCTCTCGGAATCGAGTATGCCGATTATCCAGCTACGATACAATGATATGAGTTATTAGGGTTGTCACCTAGGTTGGTGAGTTTTGAGGTGACTAAAGAGACCGAAACGGGTCCTACAGCGTCGTTCACATTCGTTTTACATGTAGAGGGCTCCATCTACTGCGGGAGGGGCTGTGGCAGCGTCTTTCCGGCGTTGGCGCTTGTCTGCCTCGGTTTGTAGTCGGGCTAACTCGAAAGTATTGACACCTTCTCGTGTGGTGATCCTCCAAGCCGTTTCGATGTGGAGTAATCGACTCCCAGGTGAGGGGGCGATTTAGCACTTTTTCAGGTTTGTCCTAAGACTATCCT